TAAATACTTGATGCATTGAATTGTCATCTAAAAAAATCAGAAAGGTAGCAGCAGTGAAAGTATTCAGTGTCAGATTTATTTTGTTCAAAGTCATATAATCTTCTGTTAGGAAGGAAGCTTGTAGTCCAGCCTCCTGTCAGGCACTAGAATTCCTTCTCCTACATCCCGAACAGGGGATCATTTACTCTTAGCTGAATTTTAGGCTGAGCCTGATGGTTGAGACATAGCTTGGACTCCCCCACGACAGTGAGCTAAGCCTTTGGGAAGCAGTCCATGACATTATTGCAGTTTTTGTTCCCAGGACATGCCCTTTTTCGTTGAGGTGACTCTTGCATCTTTATACTTTTTACTCGTTGATCATGGTTTTGCTATCTGGAGGATGCTGTGTTATAATTTATGGAGAAGTCTTTAGATAGGCAGGGTGATTATTTGCGAGAGAGCACATCCAGAGAGCGAAGAATTAAGCATGGTAAAATGGGATACATACTTGAGGGCATCCAAGTGCCTGGGTTCAAGTCCCAGCTCCACTTCCAATTCCAGCTTCCTGACAACGCATGTCCTGAAAGGCAGCAGATTATAATTCACTTACCTGAGTCCCTGCTACCCACCTGGGAGACCCAGATTAAGTGCCTGGCCCCTGGCTTAGGCCTGGCGCAGTCCCGTGGAATAAACCAGCCAAGGGAAGATCTTGTCTGCCTTTCAAATGAAAAATAAATTACATAACATAACATTACTTTATATCCAACAATATAAAAATTTTTAGATCTAAGTAAATAACATAGCTCATTATTCTAACTTATTCAAAGTACTTTCATAATTAAAGCATATAGTTAAGAATTAAACATGTAATACATAAGTACAGTATGATACTTTCTCTAACTCAACTGTCACCTCTCATTTCTTTATGTTTATCTAATTCTTATAATCTCACCAGTCTAAGGTCAAGCAAGGTAAAAGCTTTGGGTGTAAGACACATAAGAGAAATAAGTTTTCCAAGAATTTTTTGCCTGGAAATAGTTACAGATGAAATTATTTTTAAGGCAAATAAACTTAGTCTTTGAATTGTTGTTTATCATCAGAAGCCCTGGAAGACATCTGCTTTGCTCCAGCCCGGGGTAGAACTTCAGAGTTCACAAACAACACTGAAACTCTACCACTTCCCCTGTTTCTGAGGTTAAAAGCTAGCGCCTGCCTTCATTAAGATGGTTAAGATCTTATCCGCTGTTTTCCTACCTCTGATAGGCTGTTCTGGTACTTCTCTATATGGGCAGAGTAGAAAAGGGGTTCACACACATGCACGCACGCACACACACACACACAGAGAGAGAGAGAGAGAGAGAGAGAGAGAGAGAAAGCGAGCATTAGTCTCCCTGGGCATTGAGGCCCACATTGCTGCATTTTTAACCTTCCTTCTTCTGTGATGGATAAGCCATCATGTCCTCTATATGCTTTGGGTTTCTCTAACTATAAATTCATAAAAGAGATTTGTTCACTTTAGGTAATTAGTTCTTCCTCTGAACAAATTTTTGAAAGGGATAGATGGTAAGCATTATAGGTCATTTTTTTCCATAGGTATTAATGTGCTCAACATTGTCTGGACAACAATGGGACTGATGTCTCTTTCAGATGCTTCAAGGAAAATAGCAGAATGAGCTGTAGGAAGCATACCAGAGATGTTTCTCTCTTTTGAGGGGCAGGGTGCGGAGAGGAGATAAGCAGAGAGAAAGAGACAGAGAGAGAGAGAAATGTCTCATTTGCGGGCTGTCTCTCCAATTGCCTACCATAGCCAGGACTGGGACAGGCCAAAGCTCGGAGTCAGATGCTCAACTCAGCTCTCCCACGTGGGTGGAAGGGACTCAGCCACTAGAGCCACCATCAGCTGCCTCCTGGGTGCACATTAGCAGAAACTGGAATCAGGAGCAGAGACAGGACTTCAGTCCAGGCACTCTGATAAAGGATATGGGTGTGCCAAGAGGTGCCTTCATTGCTAGGCCAAATGTCTGCTCCAAAAACCTTTTTGAATCCAAAAGGCCAGGTTTAGCCAGGTTATGCTGGAAAGCCTTGAGAAATTTAAAAACCATCAGAACTGACAGGATAGAGAAGCACTTATTCAAACGCCAAATAGTTTTTTTTTTTTCTCTTTGCCTTTTAAATTCAGGGGAAGAAGAGTCTCACAATTTTACGATTGCTAAAACAAATTAACTACACATCACAAAGTTTCATAAATATTTATCCAGTTTAATCCACAAAACAAGCCTGGAAGTGTTATTCTCTCATTTTCACAGATAAGGAAAGGAGCCGTCAGAGGAAGAGCTGAGACGTGTGCAGCGTCCCAGGAGCTGGACTTGAGGGAGTCCATGGCTCCAGAGCCCAGGCATGTCCAGTGCATCACGGCTCTTCCTGTGGCCTGCAATAAAAGGACCCTTGCATTTGCTTTCTAAGTAATTATTTTGATATTTTCCAAATGGTTCTCCATCCTTGCAGATTTCCACAGATAAACTGGAAGAAATGACCTTTAGAACTTGCTTCAGCTCTCGCGGTGGTGGAGTTTTACATCAACTTGACTGGGCTAAGGAATGCTCAGATGGTGAAACACGGTCACAGGTGTGTCTGGGAGGCTGTGTGGCAAGAGATTAGCACTGCAGTCAGTAGACTGGGCGAAGATCACCCTCGCCAGTGTGGGTGTCGTCCTCTGACCCACAGAGGGGTCAGCTAGAGCAGAAGAGGCTGGAAAGGGTGAGTTGCTCTCTCTGCCTGGGCTGAGCCTTCTCCTTTGCCTGCTCTTTGGCCATCAGCACCCCCAGCTCTTCGGCTTTTGGACTCAAGCCAGGACGGAAACCATCAGCCCTCTGATTCCTGGGTGTTCAGACTCGCACTGAACCATATTGCTGCTTTTCTGGCTCTTTAGTTTGCAGATGGCAAATTGGGAGGTTTCTTGGCTCGAAAACCAATTCCAATAACCAGTCTGAAAGCCAGCTCCCATAAGGAATCTTTTTATCCATAGATTCTTTTGGTTCTGCTTCTCTATTAAGCCCTAACACAAACGCAAACCTGGGGATTCTGTGGGGTGCCATAGGACAAAAAGACAAAGAAATGAGCCTTCATTTCAGTAGTCCTCTTCTCCTTATCCACAGGGGACCCAATCCAAGACCTGGGTGAAACCACCGATAGAACTGAGCCTATACATACTATGTTTTTCTTATACCTGTGATAAAGCTTAATTTATAGACTAAGTACAGTAAGAGATTAACAATAACTAATAATAAAATAAAACAATAGAACAATATATTATACTGAAAGTAATGTGAATATACTGTCACTCCCCCTCCTTTCTCTCACTCTCCTCCCCTCCTTCTCTCACTCCCCCCCCCCTTCTCTCTCTCTGTCTCTCTGTCAGAATGTCTTAACTGTATTTTTAGACTTTATGTGACCACAGGTAACTGAAAAAGCAGAAAGCAAAACCACAGGTAAGGGGCAATACTGAATACTTAAATACAGACGCATTAAGGCATGTGAAACTCCTGGTCTGTGAAGACAAACCATCTCACTCTTGGATAACTATTTAAGTGACCTTGGCAATTAAAAGAAAATAAAAGCTGTGGGAGCCTCATCTTCAGAGATTATGATGTAATTTACATGGCAAATAGCTCCCAAATTAGAAGTTATTCTTCAACTTTTTAAAAAGAATGCCTTAAAATTTCCCCCAGTGAATTCTGCAGTGCAGTTACGGTTGGGAGCCACTGACTCAGGGGTGCTTTAGTGGGGTGTCTGTGGGGAGTTTGGAAAACCAGGATGGGCAGAGGACTGCTCCTCTTGAGAGCTTACATTTCTGCCTATATTTAAGAGATCGGGGAATAAGTAGTATAAGGGGAGGAATCCATCGACATTACTCTGAGAAGGCTTATTAAAGGAGGTAAAATTTAAGCAGATTTGAAAAAGAACAATGGATAATTTTATTGTACGACAAGATAGGATTTTGAATGCTTTCTGCATAAAGAAATGTGAAATGTTTGAGGAGATAGATGTATTTCTCTTAATTGGATGTTAAACAGCATATACATGTATTGAGACATTACCTGGTACCTCATAATATGTACAATTTTATGTATCTGTTAAATATGTTTTTAATTTAAAAGAGAGAAACAAAAAATAAGTTTATTTTGATGCAGAAGTTTAAAAAAAAAACAGAAGAGGCAAGATCAGGTCAGGAATATTAAAGTGTGAGAGTAGATTCTGTTTAGAGCTGGAACAGAGCTTTTAAATAAGAACAATTAACACCAAGAAACCTGAGATCCAAACTTTGTTTTCTCATGGCACTCAGTAAGTGCTAATTAAATTGTACTATTATGGAATTTAAAGCATCTTAAATGAAAAACCATTAAGTAGCTCAGATTCAGTTTTGAATCTATCACTGTATCTACTTCATCCTGGGTCCACCGTCAAAGATTTACAAATATTAAGGCCCAGGAATCATTCTGTTCATTATCCCTTCCCACCACTTGACATCTTTCCAGCAGCACAGAGAACAGAAAAACATACTACTAACAACTTCCACTCCGTATTTTCAGCACTCTGCCTTCATTCATGAAAGATAACAGTGAGATCCTACAAATTTTTCCAATACCAACAAACATAGTGGGTCACTCTTAAGGGTCCCATGATGATGATACCATGAAAATGGGAAAAAAAGAATTATATTTTCACTGAACTTCAGAATCTAATGGTACCTTAAGAGTTATGCCTGGTTCCTTTCCAACAATTATAAAATGTTCTCATCCTATTTCAAGTACTACTTGTTTTTTTCCAGTGAAGAGCTAAGTCAAATACAGACTATATATATTTTTTATACATATATAAAGAAACCATTCAGTAGTTGACATACTTCCAGTGAAATTTTAAAAAGACTCGCTTGAACACCAGACATGATCTTCCAGTAAGATCTTCCCTTTGGGGCTGCTTAACCAGCCTTGTTGATCAGCCACCGTGGTCACCGTATCAAATCATAGCACCAAGCATTTACTAGTCATCCACTCTTATCCCCCGCAGGTGGGACCATCGTAAGATATGCAGGACCCAGGAAGACAGTCTCTGAGAACCGTGTGGTACCTGATCCAGAAAAATGCTGACACAGTCACTTTTGGCTCTGGTGTCACCATCCCTTACCCATCCATCCATTCAACAGGCACTGAAGTTGTACTATGCGTGAGACAGTAGAGTTTCATGAAGAACACTAGAATAAGCAGGTAAGCAAATTAAAAATTATGATTAAAAATAAAAAAGTAAGTGGTTTGAGGGTAACAAACAGGGGGTTGTGTGGGAGGAGACTGTGAAGGAATCAGCCCTGCAGTGTCAGAAGCAGACACTTCACGGGGAGAGAAGGCAGCTTGAGATAAGCTTGGAGAAGAAAGAGGTCGCAACCAGATTGTACAGGACCTCTTTCCTATTCAGCCGGCATCTTACCAGCAGCTCAGTGCCAGGAGTCAAGGCTAAGCAGAAACACCTTCTAGAGAGTACAGAGCGAGCCTGCACCTTCCGGTCTCCTTCATGAAAATTCTTCTGCAGCAGATTTGGCCTTGCATTGTATATGTGAGTGCATGATCCTGAGAGGGCTGTAGGGGTGTGTGCATGCTGTGTGTGTGTGTGTGTGTGTGTGTGTTTTGCGGGGGAGATCTTATCGCTAGCATAATTGAGGTTTTTTTTTAAGTTATTTTGTTCTCATACAGCTATGAACTTAATGTATAAAAGAAGGCTACATGGCTGATTATGTTTGACTATTGCTTCTCTGGGCAACCCACACATACCAACACTATGAAGCTGCCCTAGTGAGGCCTATGAACCCTCTGGTCACTAGCTTTTAAGGATGGCCGAGGGACAGAATACGAGTTCTACAGCGAAAGCTTAAAAGTCGGTGATACACTCCGGCAAGTTAGGGAGTATCCCGGGCAGCCTATGTGATAAGTTACCAACTGTAGTTGTAGCATTCAGCTTTGAAGTCTCAGCTGCTCCTCTTCTGATCCAGCTCTGCTATGGCCTGGGAAAGCAGAAGATGGCCCAAGTGCTCGGGCCCCTGCACCCACGTGGGAGACCCAGAAGAACCTCCTGGCTCCTGGCTTCAGATTGACCCAGCTCTGGTTATTGTGGCCTTGTGGGGATTCAACCACTGGATGGAAGACTTTTCTCTCTGTCTGTAATTCTGCCTCTCAAGTAAATAAGTAAAATCTTAAAAAGAAATCAATGTTTCCTTTTAATAAACATAAGAAGAATACCCTGTTGTGGATTGAATTGTGTTCCACCACACCTATGCCAAACTCTTAACCCCCAGTACATGTGAATGCTACCTTGTTTGGAAATAGAATCTTTGCAGGCAGCCTGGTTAACAAGAGTGGGCTTAATCCAATATAACTCTGTCCTTATAAGAGGGAGAAATTTAGGGGCCACTACTGTGGCTTAGCAGGTTAGGCTGCCGCCTGCAGTGCCACCATCCCATATGGGCACTGGTTCAAATGGCCCGGGTGCTTGGTCCCCTGCAACCATGTGGGAGACCCAGAGGAAGCTCCTGGCTCCTGGCTTTGCATCTGCACAACTCCGGCCATTGGGGTCATCTGGGGAATGAACCAGTGGAGTGAAGACCTATCTCTCTCTGCCTCTGCTTCTCTGTAACTATGCCTTTCAAATAAATAAATAAATCTTAAAAAAAAAAAAGAAAGAAGGAGAAATTTGGACACAGAGACAAAGAGAATGCTGGGTAAAGATGAAAGCAGAAGTTGGGATGCTAATGTCTACAAGGAATGCCAAGGAGTTCCAGTAAACCACAGGAAGTTAGGCAAGAGGCAGGAACAAATTCTATCCCAGAGGGAACTACCCCTGCTGCTACCTTGATCTGGGTCCTCTAGCCTCCAGAACTGCAGAAACAACACATTTCTGTTTAGCTGCTTAGTTTGTGGCACTTTGTTATCGCAGCACAACAAACTCATACACATTCCAAGTATTCTACTTGAAATTTCAAAACAAATGGAAAAGAAACTGCCTATGCAATGACATTTATTTTAAAATAGAAAACTAAAAAAAGCGGAAAAACATGACTAAGGCCATTAAAATATGGAACATACTTTGAAAAAATATGTATTGCAGGCCACCTGTTGGTGGAGATTTTGATGTTCATGAGATGAGGCTATCTCTCCTTCTTGCTGCACACTGTTAGTGACTGCTCCAGCTTCTCTGACTTATATAGGGCTGAGGCAGGGGAGACTTGGGGACCAGCCAGACCCCCTCCCCACACCAGAGCAGACCCCTACCAAGGTTACCGTTGACGGTGGGTAGTGCAATCCCATGCAACGCCTTCCCTGAAGCCTCCACCTGCTGCTGCCCTTAAAATACTATAGCAGCAGGCTAGAAAATTGCATCCACCACTGCCCCCTTAGACATGAATGTATGGGAAACCACCCAGCTTCACAGAAGGGAGGAAATCAGGGAGACCTCACCTTTACACCCTCCTGCCCTACCTCACCTTGTCCAAACTGCCCCTGAATAATGACACCCATCACATTGGATCAGGGCCCATCCTAATGACCTCATATTGATATCATCATCTGTAAAGAACCTGTTTCCAAATAAGATCACCTTCAGAGAATGCAGATTACAATTTCAACGAAGTGGAGAGAAGGGGTAGGGAGAGGGGAAGGGAGAAGGGACATACATAATTCAACTCATATAGGTACAGCCCGCCTATACTGTGAGTGACCAAAAAAACATCGATGAGGTTCTTGAATCAGAACTTGATCCAGGGCCGGCGCTGTGGCTCACTTGGTTAAGCCTGCGCCTGCGGCGCCGGCATCCCATATGGGCACCAGGTTCTAGTCCCAGTTGCTCCTCTTCCACTCCAGCTCTCTGCTCTCGCCCGGGAGTGCAGTGGAGGATGGCCCAAGTGCTTGGGCCCTGCACCCATATGGGAGACCAGGAGGAAGCACCTGGCTCCTGGCTTCGGATCGGCGGTGGTAGCGGCCACTTGAGGGGTGAACCAACGGAAGGAAGACCTTTTTCTCTGTCTCTCTCACTGTCTAACTCTGCCTGTCAAAAAAATTTTAATTAAAACAAAAAAGGACTTGGTCCAACAGACCCAAATATGCAACCATTCAAAACAAGGAAGATGGGCACTGCTCTTGTGCTCCCCCTGCTGGAAAAGCCAATGATGTATTTAAGACACTGATATGGCTGCATTTGCAACTGTGTTCCCAGGCAAAATTAAACAATAATTTTCCTTTTTAGTCAGGTCTTGGGATCAATACATTATTCTTATATCATGAACTAAGAGATTCTTCCTACTTAAATAGTCTCTGAAATGATATATATAAGATAGGAATTAACTTTTCTGTTGCTTGATGATTTAGTAGAAGTTGCTTATAAAATCACCTTGGCCTTATGATGACTAGTTTTATCTATAGGAAGATTTTTAATAGAAAACTTTTATTTAATAAATATAAATTTCAAAAATACAACTTTTGGATTATAGCGGTTCTTCCCCCTATACCCACCCTCCCACCCACAAACCATCCCATCTCTTACTCCCTCTCCCATCCCATTCTTCATTAAGATTCATTTTTAATTATCTTTAGATTCAGAAGATCAACTCAATACTGAGTAAGGATTTCAATAGTTTGCACCCACTCAGACATAAAAAATATACTGTTTGAAGACTAGTTTTATCGTTAATTCACATAGTACAACACATTAAGGACAGAGGTCCTACATGGGGAGCAAGTGCACAGTGACTCTTGTTGATTTAACAATTGACACTCTTATTTATGATGTCAGTAATCACCCTAGGTGCTTGTCATGAGCTGCCAAGGCTATGGAAGCCTCTTGAGTTCACAAACTCTGATCTTATTTAGGCAAGGCCATAGTCAAAGTGGAAGTCCTCTCCTCCCTTCAGAGAAAGGTGCCTCCTTCTTTGATGGCCCCTTCTTTTTATAGGAAGATTTTTATAACTATTGATTGAACTTCTTCAGTGGTATTAGGTCTTAGAAAACATGTTGCATTTCTTTTTTGAGCTAGTTTTGGTATATTATATTTCTTCTAAAAATTTGGTACTTCACCTAGATTTTTTCTTTTTTTTAGATTTATTTTTATGTATTTGAAAGACAGAGTTACAGAGAGAGGTAGAGACAGAGTGAGAGGACTTCCATCCGATGGTTCACCTCCCAGTTGGCCACAATGGCCGGAGCTGCACCGATCCAAAGCCAGGAGCCAGGAGCTTCTTCTGGGTCTCCCACACAGGTGCAGGGGCCCAAGGACTTGGGCCATCTTCTACTGCTATCTCAGGCCATAGCAGAGAGCTGGATCGGAAGAGGCGCTGCCAGGACTAGAACTAGCACCCATATGGGATGCTAGCACTTCAGGCCAGGGCTTTAACCCACTGCGGCACAGCGCTGGCCTCTAGATTTTCATAATTAGGAAGGAAAAAAATTTTTCATAGTGTTCTGCTACAACTTTTAAACATTTATTTATTTGAGAGGCCAAGACACACACATACAGAGAGAGAGAAAGAGAGAGAGAGAGCTTGCACACTCCCATCTACTGCTCACTCTGCAAATGCTCCCAACATTGCCACAGCCAGGACTGGGCTGGCCCACAGTCAGGAGCCAGAAATTCAGTCCAGGTCTCCCAAGTGAGTGGCAGGGACCCAACTACTTGAGCTGTCACCTGCTGCCTCCCAGGATCTGCCTCAGCTGGAAACTGCAATCAGGAGCCAAAGTTAGGCACCAAACCAGACACTCCAACATGAACACAGGCATCTTGACCACAAGTCTAAACATCTTCCCCAGTTATGATTTTAAATTACCTACCATATGTATGTTATGCTCACTTTTTAAGTTTCATTTTTTGTAACTCTGTTCTTCTTACTTGCCAGTAGTTTATTTATTTTGTTAATCTTTTCAAAGAATTAATATTTAATTTTTGTTTCTATTACATATTTTCTTATTTCTTGACTTCTGTCTGGAGTTTTATTTGCCTCCTTCTACTTTAATTGGTTTGCTATATTGTTCTTTTTGAAAATGTTTTAAAAAAAAGATTCAGTTATGTATTTAAAAGTCAGAGTTACAGAGAGAAAGGGAGGGAGAGAGGGAGGGAGGGAGGGAGGTAGAGAGAGAGAAAGAGAGAGAGAGAATCTTCCATCTGCTGGTTCACTCCCCTAAATCCTAAATGGCCATAACTGTTAGGGTTGGGCCGAGCCTAGTCAGGAGCCAGGGGCTTCTTCCAGTTTTCCTACATGGGTGCAGGTCCTCTACTGCTTTCCCAGGCACAGTAGATGAGCTGTATTGGAAGTGGTGCAGTTATGACTCAAACCATTGCCCATATGGTATGCCAGCATTGCAGCAGCAGCTTAACCCGGTACACCACAATGCTGGCCCCTCCTTTCTAAGATTTTTTAAGTTGACACTGAGACATTTATTTTCAAACTTTTCTCTTTTTAAAAAAATTTATTAGAGTACTTAAAAAATTCATGAAAATTAAATTAAAAGCTAAGTTTATTTTGGGGAGAAATTTGAAATCTTACTATACATTTTCCACGAACTTTTTTGGAGTTCCCTTATAAGCATTTAAGGCTGTTTTCTTTACAAGTAACTTATGCTCTGCTTTAATAAGTAGCATTTTCCTTATCTTTGAAATACATATTTCAGTTTCCATTATTATTTAAATAAATAGGAAGGGAAGAGACAAACATCCCACTCATAAGAATTCCAAAGTTTATGCAGCTACTCTTTGCTCTTTATGTGTGAAGTGTGCATAGCCACTGCCTTCCAGAGTATTGTGTGCGAAGTAGAACAAAAGTAACTTTACGGTAGAGAAGCCTGACAGACAAACACTGCGTCAGCCAAGTTAATAGAGACAAGTCATGTGATAGCAAGGATCCTTGATGTGAAGTCATGAACAAATGCCCTCTCACCTCTGTGGTCTTCCTCTCAGAAACCCGTAATGAAAAAAGCATCAGATAAGTCAGTCCCCAAAAGGGCCCATTCTACACCATATCTGACCAATCCTCAAGTCTGCCAAGATCTCAAAAATAAAGACATTCTAAGAAACTGTCACAGCCAAATAGCCTAAGGAGACACAGTGAATAAATGCAGTGTGATACCCTGGATGAGGTCCTGGAAAAGGAAAAAGACACTAAGCAAGCACTAATAAAATCTCAATAAACTGTGGATGCAGGTTAATAATAATGTCAATATTGGTTCAATATTTATGATGAATGCGCCATACTAATGT